TACCGTCCGTGACATCATCGAAGCCGGCCAGATCAGGCCTGATCACAGCCGTAGCAAGTACAAGTACGCGCGCTCAAAAATCAGCTGATTGCGTAGACCACCCGCCTGCGTACCAGGCCAGAAGCGGCAACCTCACAAGCCAACCGGTCAACAAGTGACTGGGTTAGCCTTGTACGAATACACAGTAAGCTTCAAAACTATTCCACTCTTTTCTGATGAACTCGAATGAATTCCCGGAATATGGATCCACATTTATATTCGTATAAAATGTTGATATGAGGGGGAAGGATGGGAAAATATTAATCACCTAAGGTGTCTTATTTCATATGGCTTACTTGCGAAAACCTCGGTGGGACTCGAGCCCATGCCAGGAAGGGGAAGGTTTTAGCACAACTGACACTCTAGCCAACTGAACTACGAGGCCCCCGTCGAAAGCTGTGAATTTAATCACACTTGCACAGTTACCCGTCCAGCCTACTGCAAAGCACGGAATCCACCAATGCTGATATAGTAAGCTGACTACACAAGCAGGATGTCCTAAACAAGCTGTCTAGAGTCGATCAGATGACTATCAGGAAGGACTGAATAAAATCACAGCGTATAATTATTCTCAAAGTTTTTTTTCCAAAAACACTCATTCGGTGCATTGAACATGACCTATTCAACAACTGGACGGGACACAGTTTGCACGAAGCGGCTGCATTTAAAAATCAAGCAGCATTCATCGAATTAGCAACAGTTTTCGAATTAGCACAATTACTACGCAAAAAAAAACTAGCTAGTTAACCTACAGCTTGTCGAGCCCGCAGTGGATAGAGACAAACATGTGTTGACTATGGTAAGCAGTGAGCAAACTAGGAGCAAACGCTGAGGACCAGTGCAAATCACTTTCTGAACCAAAAGTGCTTCGTAGTGCTAAATTGCTGCTAAATTACAAGTCAGTCACCGGCTTTTGGACCTGACCGAGGTATCACAACAGCAGACCTGGCGTCGGCCACTCCATCCTGCGGTGAATTAATAAAGCAAAAAATGTGGTGAGAAACAAATACGGCAACAGACCTGGTAGAAGGCTGGCTAGCGTGAGGAGCCAAGTGGAGAGGCAGTTGACGGCAATGTCCGAGGAAAAGAGGATTCTCCGCTCCAGAAGAAGCAGCTTCAGTAGAACGAGGGCATCACGTTGGTAGGCACGCACAAAGGACACCGCATTGAGGCCGCGGTAGAGGGCACCTGCAATCGGATGTGACATACAGGATAAACAGAATTTACAACAACTCCAATACATTGATGAGCATGGTTGATAACTGAGGCAGACGTCTTTGACGTGGAAGCCC